GTACTTCCAACCTCCTGCCATGGGCAGGGACACCGTCCACTAGACCAGGGTGCTCCAAGCCCCATCCACCCTGGCTTTGAACACTCAGGCTGTGACACTAAAGGTGGGGGGCACAGGGGGCTGCTGCATTGGCCACCCTGTTAGAGATCCACAGACTGGTTTGAGTTGGAATAGGCCTTAAAGATCTTGTACTTCCAACCTCCTGCCATGGGCAGGGACACCGTCCACTAGACCAGGGTGCTCCAAGCCCCATCCAACCTGGCTTTGAACACTCAGGGATGGAGCAGCCACAGCTTCTCTGGACAACCTGTGCCAGTGACTCATCACCCTCACAGTCATGAATTTCTTCCTTACATCCAATCTAAACCTACTCTCTTTCAGTGTGAAGCCATTCCCTCTTGTCCTGTCACTACATGCTCTTGTAAACAGTCTCTCTTCAGGTTTCTTGTAGACTCCCTTCAGATATTAAAAGGCTGCAATAAGGTCACTCTAGAGCCTCCTCTTTTCTAGGCTGAACAATCCCAATTCTCTCAGTCTTTCTACTTTCAGGCTTTGGGGCTGTGTTGATGGATGGTTTCTGCACACAGCATCTCACCCAGTGGCACTGGGACCTGTTTAACTGACATGATGGGTGTGAGCTGAGGACCTGCCATGCTGGTGGTTGGAGAGGGTGGTGGTTGGGAGGAAGGAGGTTTTGGTAGCAATATGTTTGACCATTTCAAAATCACTTGCACCTTGTTGTGGGGCTGAACTTGCTTGCCCCATGGTGTGATGTGTGGGATGCATGAGTGCCCAAGCCCTCAGAGAGTGGGATTTATTCTGTGGGATGTGGTTGTATATGTAGATCTGCTGGATCATGTGATGGATGGTCTCTGGCAGCTACACTTGGGTCTGTGGTATGGGTGAGGTTGTGCTGTGCTTTCCCTCTCCTTTTTGCTTGAGCCAACACCAGGAAATGGGAAGAGCAATGCCCAAAAGAGCTGATTGCATATGAAAAGTAATAATCCAGGCCTTGCTGAAGTCATTCTCCTGCTTAGTAATACTTAGATTTATTATAATGTAATGTGAGGTGAATGTAAGTGTGGGTGAGGATCACCTGGAAGATGTGCAGCATCTGGAGAAAGTTAGCAGGGTAACACAGCCAAGTAGTGTGAGACAATGTGAAATTTGAGGAGTGTTTTAAATATGATTTATGATTTTAGAGGAAATAAAGGACAATTTGTGGTATGTGTTTTAATGAAAAGAGGGTCTGTAAGATAGAGCCTGTTGTGCTGTGTGAGATGTTGGTGGCTGGAGAACAAGAGCTGGAGGCCAAGTACAGCTTAGAAGAGAAGAGTCAGGGCTGGCCATGGATGTGATCCAATGGTGCAGGCAGCATGGAGACTTCCTCTTCTCCCCACGAAAAAGCAAATGCTTGTCATTTTTTGGTTTTCCTGAATCATTTCAAAATTGCAGTCTGTCTGAAGCCAGGCAAACCACAGGGATGCACAGCAGTGTCCCATCAGTGGCTTTGTGGGCCACCTTCAAGTGTCCCCTATTCCTGATGCAAAGGATTAGTTTGCTCTTGACTGGGTGTGGACTTCTCACTTCATGGGAGAGCCCCAGGGAGGTGACTACCCCATGCCGGTCCTTGAGGGAAACTGTAACACAACCAGAAACTGCATGAACTAAATTGGCAACATACTCTTTGAAACACTGCTAAATTTGAGTGCAGGGGCTTAAAGGGCGTCAGCTGTTGGGCTTCTAATGGAGCAGCTGCTATGAAGCAAGTTGATAACTGGATTGCTTCTTTAGATGATTTACTAACTTGCTCACCACCCACTCACAAACCCTGCTCTTTCCTTTCCATGCCTCAGAAGTTCTCCTGTACATGCTGAACACCAAGACAGGATACTTTGCCAGTTTGAGGTGTTTGGCCCCGATCCAATGAAAACACTTAAGCATATGCTAAAACCTAGATCATGGAGATGTTCTTTTGAATTTAAAGGTGAGAAAATTATTTAATACTATAAGGAATATAGTTTTCACTTTTATGAATTCTCACATGAATTTGCAGGAGGCTCAGGCTCAGCAAAGCAACTGGCTGTTGGTCTTCCTGTTGGGGAAGAGGGATGAACTGGTTGACCTCTAGAAGTTCTTCTTGGGCATGTTTCCTGTGGTAGATAATGAGGCTGTTGAACTTGTGCAATGATGATTGAATGTTTGAAAGGAATAGAAAACCTCCGCAGATCAGCTCTCACTTCTGGAGATCAAAATGACATCTTGTGTGTGGGAAAGAGGCAAATTATCTCCCAGCTGCAGGGTTCCTCCATCTTGCTGTCATGTGTTTCTGGTTGCCCACTGACAGAGGCAGGATGCTGAACTAGATGGACCCATGTTCTGATTCAATCTGGCAATTCCTGTGGTCCCCTGAGCCCTGTTGACCTCAGTGGGAATTAGACACACGTTTAAGCACTTCCCTAGAAAGGCAGACTCAACTGCCCCAGTCTCTGCTCAGCTGCTTGAGGCTCTGCAGTGGGGAAAGCAGGTTTCTGTTAAATGCTTGGATCAGCCTTACCACATCCTTTTTGTGTGTGTGTGTTTTAATGGGGGAATCCTAATTTATAGCATGCACTTCCATTTTAAAAATAAATGCAAGCTGTCCTAAAGCCCAAGCTGTGCTCTATGTCACAGTGATGCCATCGGGAAGGAGGTTTCCATTAGTGCCTGTGGAGGAGATGCATGCACGAATGGCTGGGAGAACACAGCAGAAAAAGAAAACCTGGAGCTTTGTGGTTGGCTTTGCTTCTAAACCTGTGAGCAAGAGTACTGAGAGGAATATATCATGTGGCTCAGGGCCCTTTGAAGTGGCTGAGTTCAGTACTGGCAGGGTGGGTTCCCTTATCTCCACTCCTACAAAGAGGACCAGGAAATGCCCCTGTGATGTGGGACTCCTACATCAGGTTGACAGCTTTTCCCCGTTTTTTCTCCCACAGCAGTTAATTAACAGAGCCAGCTGAAAGCAGGGGATTACTCTGCCCCTTTTTCGTGGGTAGATAAGTGGGATGGTGACAGCTGTGTTTGGGTACTACTGCCCATCCACTGCTCCAGGATGATCAGCTGGCTGGGAAGTTTACAGACTGCTGATCTCTTCCTGTGTCATTATATGCATGCAGAGGGTTTGGCAAGAGCTGGGTTTTGTCTTGCATCCAGTCTGTGCTCAAAACAAATCCTGAGCACATATGTTGGTGCACAGTCACCTCCAGCAGGCTCCAGTGTGTGTGCCCAGGATGCCCTTGTTAGCAGGACCTTTACTTTGCAAAGCTACTGACTTGAAACCTGCAAATTTCATTTCTTTCTTCTGAGGCAAGTGTGTCCCAGATGAGGCTTTGATCTGGGAAGCTCAGCTGAGTCTGACCTGGTCTGTGTGAGGATCCCAGAGACCAGCTGGCTGGGATGTGCAAGTCAGATGGCTTCTGCCACATGGCAATGGCTTTCTTGATCTAGAGCTCAGTTCTGCCTTTTGACAGTGACTTGTTTTGTGTAAATTGAGCTTTGCTGTGAAATGGCTATATGGCTGAACTAAACCCAGTACAGAAAAAAAATGGATAGGAAATGGAATTGATAGATAATTAAATTGCTAGATAATTAAACTGTGATATTTAATTGGGCCAGAAGGGGTTTAGACTGGACATTAGAAAGCATTTTTTGGCTGAGAGGGTGGCCAAATACTGGAACAGGCTTCCTTGAGGGGTCAATGCCCCAAGTCTGTCAGTGTTTGAAAGGAATTTGGACAATGCTCTTAATAATATATTTTAACTTTTGGTCAGCCCTGAAGCAGTGAGGTAGTTGGACTAGATGGCTGTTGTAGATCCTTTCCAACTGAAATAGTCTGTTCTGACTAAAATTAAATTACATTTTGGGATAATTCAGATTTGAATGTTAGCAGTTCCTGTGATCCTTCTTTCCAGAACTATAAAGTATTATCTAACCTTTGGAAAATGAGACCTTTAAAGAAAGATGAGTGTGGCACATATCAAACAACTAGGAGTTCTTGAAAAATTAGGCTGTGCCTTTTTATCTAATTCAGGAAGCAAAGATGCTGCAAATGGTGATCTGGAAGTGTGGGAATACCAAAAGTGGATAAGCACCATTCACTGAGTAAGGCACTGCTCCAGAAGTGGGGCACTGGTCAGTTGGTTGTACATAGTCCTATTTTCAGGAGTTCTTGCCAAAGCTGTGAGTTACAACAACTCATTAGCCTTCAGCTTCTGGTCTATTTACAGCTTATGCATTAATGGGTTAGTGACATGTCTCAACGTGAGAAAATAGTGAGAGGAAGATAGGAAATTGTGGCCTTCGAAAACATTTTATCATAGAATCATAGAACAGTTTGTGTTTGGAAGGGACCCTAAAGATCATCCTGTCCCAAGTCCCCTGCTATGGTCAGAGACACCTTCCACTAGACCAGAGTGCTCTAAGCCCTATCCAGCCTGCCCTTGAACACTCCCAGGGATGGAGCATCCACAGCTTCTCTGGGCAACATGTTACAGGGCCTCACCACCCTCAGTCATTAATTTCTTCCAAACAGGGCCTAACCACCCTCAGTCATTAATTTCTTCCAAATATCCAATCTAAACCTACTGTCTCTCAGTTAAAAGCCATTCCCCTTTGTCCTATCGCTACTTGCTCATGTAAAAAGTCACTCTCCAGCTCTCTTGTAGCCCCTTTAGCACTGGAAGGGGCTCTAAGGTCTCCCCGGACTGAACACCTCCAGCTCTCTCAGCCTGTCTCCATAGCAGAGGTGCTTTAGCCCCTATATCATCTGTGTAGCCTCTTCTGGAGTTGCTCCAGCAGGTCCATCTATATCATCTGTGTAGCTTCTTCTGGAGTTGCTCCAGCAGGTCCATATCGTCCTTACATTGGATGCCCAAGCTGAACACTGTAGCAAAACGAGGAGTAATAACTGTGCATGATGATGTTAACGTTTTGTTGCCTTTTTTTTCTTACCCTCTGCACAGGGACCCTCCAGAGGGATCGAATTTTCAAGAACCTCACCCGGAAACGCCAGCGAGCAATGCGAAGGCGAGTGCACCAGGTCAACGGGCACAAGTTCATGGCTACCTATCTGCGACAGCCAACCTACTGCTCACACTGCAGGGAGTTCATCTGGTAAGAATGGCTCAAACACAGTGTTGTGGAGCTTCCCATTCCTTTGCATTTTGGGGACCAAGATACCACTCTCAATCCTGAATCAGTCACCTTACCAAGGGCCACCAATGTGATACCCCTTGACCATCAGGTTTAACAGGGTACGTTTATACTGCAAACTGGAGTCTACTGCAGAGAGGCCAGAGGTGATGTATATCTTGGATGCTGGAAACTGGGATGGTGTGGGGATGAGACAGTGTTCCTCACTTGTAAGCATAAATGTTATTTCATGGTGAGGAAAGTAACTGAGGCACTCTGAAGAAAGACCCCAGGTATTAACTGGAGTGGAACTCTGAGATTACACTCAGAAAAATCAATTGATTGAAAGTGTAGAGAAGATTCCTGAGAACAGAAAAGCCATCAGAGGTGTGAGGTGTGGGGTGATGCATGTGGAGGAGTAAGCAGAGAATGGAGAAAAAGGTAGATATGTCTCAAAAGAACATGGAGTGGGAGAGATAATAACAGGGTGTGGGCTGCTGGGATCAGTTTCTAATGTGTGTGGTGTGTGTTGTAATGAAGTGAGGTATTTGAGAAACTAGAGTGAGGGGGGATATGGGGAATACAAGAATGCTGACAGCCTGCCCTGTAGGCCATGGCCTGTGCAATGCTTTGCTGTGCTCTCACACCCCTGTGCTGGGTTGCACCATTAGTGCTGGGCAGTTTGGCCATGGGATCTGATTGTTTGGGATCCTCTTGCATTTTTGGCTCTCTCTTCTGTAAACAATCTGTAAGATGACTGTGACATTAAATTATGTTCCCATTTTGTTTTGAACAGGGGTGTGTTTGGGAAGCAGGGATACCAGTGCCAAGGTAAGCTGCTCCACTCCTGCAGTGTGTGTGTAGGATGTGCTGTTTCAGGAACACTTTCCCATGCTTCTGGGACAGCCTGTGGTTACAAGCATCTCTGAAGTCACCACTTCTCTTCCTTCCCAGCCAGTCAAAACTGTGTTTGAGCATGTGTCCAGTTTACATGCATGCAGGAGCAGCCACAACACCTGGGAGTCTGGTTGCTGTGTTTCATCCTGTGCAGATCCACTGTGTTGCTGAGTACATGCAGCACCCAGCTAGGCTTGAGGCACCTGTGGTCCCTTCAGGACAGAGTACTGCTGGTATTGGAACACAAATACCCTATTGGAATGGCCACCCTCTTCCTTTCTCTCCCTGTGAAGTTCAACAAAGTAAAATTAGGGATTTTGTGACTTCAAAGGGCAGCCTTGTGGGCTGGCTCAGCACCTGTGTCTGAGTGCATGCTTTGGCTGAATGGATGTATAGATATGTATGTGGTGCTTGTTTGCACTTAATTATTGTTCTGCCTTTCCCTTTTTCTGTGTAAGAGGACAGAATGACTTGCTTCACAGGTGCATGGTCATTCAGTATAGCCTAACTCAGCCTGTCCTTGTGCGGTGTGATAGAGCACTGGTGTCCTACAAAAGGAAGGCTGCATGTAAACAAAATGGATATCCTGCATAAAATATCTGTGCAAGTGAATGTTTCTGGTAGCCCTTCATGAGTGGAAGCCTAGAGCAACAAAAAGAATAGTCTGAGACTCTGGAAAACATTTACAACTTGCAGTTGCCAATAGAAAAATCTTCTTACATAGTGACTATGGGTCTTCCTGGTTTCCACAGTGCATGCTGGGTTATGGAGTGGAGGAATCCAAGTTCATTCCAGCCAAGCCAGATTTAGACCTGGAGGGAGCCCAACTCAGGTTTAGCCCTCTTGATGGTGACTAACTAACTGGCCTAGACACAGTCCCGTTCTGCTGCAGTTATCCAACTTCCCAGACCCAAGTGTTGCACTGAGCCTAAGAAACAAACTAACCAGGGCAGGATGCACTTGGATACCAAACCTAAGAAGCACTGTGCCACCCAGATGCAGGGATGACTTTAGTTATCTCAGACCTGTGTTCTCTAAGGTTGTTTTTGTATGTTGTATGAAACACTCTTCACTGGATAATTATTTCAGCCTTTTTTTAAGTTCATTTGAGAAGGTATGCTATTGTTTCTGTGTCCATCATCCATATTTTATTTAGCAGCTGCATGAATGCTCTAGTGCAGAATTTCTGTAGCAGTGGGTTGAAGATGCATCTCCAAATCCATTAGGAGATTTTGTTAATTCCAAATCACGGATTATTTTTAGGAACTGCAATGACAGGACAAGGGGTAACGGGTTCAAATTGAAGGAGAGGAAGTTTAGGTTAGGTATTAGGAAAAAGAATTTTCCTGTGAGTGTGGTGAGACACTGGCACAGGTTGCCCAGGGAAGTGGTGGCTGCTCCAACCCTGGCAGTGTTTAAAGCCAGGTTGGATAAAGCCTTGGGCATCCTGGTCTAGTGGGGAGGTGTCCCTGCCCAGGGCAGGGAGTTGGGACTAGATGATCTCTAACATTCATTCCAACCCCTAAAATTCAATGATTCTATGGTTTTTTCACATCTTTACTGTGTGGTGATGATACAGCTGAGCCTTAAAGAACCCAACTGGTAGGTTGATGTGTTCTTTCAGTCTTTCAAGAGCTCTTTTCAGCATGCCTCTTTTGTTTCCTAGTATGCACCTGTGTTGTACACAAGCGCTGCCATCACCTAATTGTTACAGCTTGCACGTGCCAAAACAATACTAACAAGAACGATCTCAAGGTAAAGTCATCTTGGTTATTTTGGGCCATCATACTTTGTCTGGGGTTGTCTGGGTTGCTGGGGTTGCCCTATAACAGAATTTATTTGGTTTTGTTTCATTATTGGATTATTTCTTTGTTATCTGTATTCATGGATTTAAAAGTGATAAAGTGCTAGGGACATGCATGAAGGTCATACAATGTCATTCCATTGTTCTTCTGTTTGATTTAGGACATGGTTTAGCATGTGGTTTAGGAAGTTTGGGTGTCTTCATTGGAAGACATCAAGAAATAGCAAATCTACTGTTTTCTTTGGTAATTTTCTTGCATGATTAACTGTGATATCATCAGAATTTGGTGCCTGGTTCTGAATATGGATTTCTCTGGCCAAACACTGGTCTTTGTTGTGCCTCTTTTTTCTGTTCTGGTAACCTGAAGTACTCATTTAGTCATTGCTCCACACCTTGACTCTATGAAATGATTTATGTTGTAATAAAGAACACTTGCATAACCTATGTTTCTGAATGTTTTCTTTCTTGCTTGTTTTGGCTGCATTTGATGGGAGTAACATCTCCACCTTAAAGTGCCCTGTACATTGCATGTCTCATTTCTGTAATTGGAAATTGTTTAATAACCCTTTGAGGAAAATTCTATTGAAATCTATTTATTCCTGAGGCATCTGTGTGTTTTGTGCCATGCAGAAACCTTATTTTCAGTGCAGATAAGCAATTGCCTTTGTTTATTATTTCTTGCCTTCAAACTGCTGAGCTGAACTCCTTAAAACAACCCCTTGACAAGCCAGATGAAAATAAGTTAAAATGCCTAAGGGCAAAGTGCAAGCTAAATAGTGAGTCTCCTCACCCCTCTTTTAGGATTATGAAAGATTTATAATGTATTTAAGCTACTTTAAAAGCAGCCAAAGGTTAGGAGGCACCGCTCACTTTAAACTTGTTGTTCCAGTCGGACCCCTGACATTTCTTTATGGACTTCAGTTCCCCATCAGCCTTCCCAGATCTGCATGTTCAGAAACAAAGTCAAAAGTGATGAATTTGCTAAATGGGGGCTGCTTTCTTCAGCCAATGGAACATTTTTTTAAAGGCGTTTTGTAGATCTGAATGATTCACGTTTGGAAAATAACAAGGTTGAAAAGGGTGTGAGAGCAAGTGATAAAGCAAAATGTGTACCTGAAAGGAAAGACTGTTAATAACAAGGAGGGTGAGGAGAGGATGAGAATTTTAGGAGGAGCTGTGAAAGCTATTCTCTATTGAATGTAATAAAATCAACAGTTTGACCTAAAGTTACGTGTTTGCATGTAGTATGCAAGTCAATAATTTGAAAACTGGGTAGTTACAAAGTGCTGTGGCTCACGTCATTTATACGTGGCACTGCAGTGGGATTGGTTTGTGGTGAGGTAATCCACACTTCTAATTTTAACTTGGCTTCAAGAATTTCAAGTTGGCTAGGCAGCCCTTATTTTAAAATCTGCTCAGCCAGGTAGTCTGGCTGGGCCAGCAAGGAGAGCAGGGCAGTAAACCTCAGTGAGGATTTGGGGACGTTTTCTGACTTGGAATTATTTTCATAGTTTTGCACTTAAATGCTTTTATGTAAATGAACTTCAGCTTATATATATTTATTTGAATTTCAAACCTGTGCTTTTCTTTTGGTACCTCAGGTGACTGAACAGAGGTTTGGAATCAACATCCCTCATAAGTTCAGCGTCCACAACTACAAAGTCCCAACGTTCTGTGACCACTGTGGGTCCTTGCTCTGGGGAATCATGCGACAGGGTCTACAGTGTAAAAGTGAGCAGCTTCTCACTATTGCCTTTTCACTTTTAGACTCTTGGTGCACTATGTGGGCTTGATTTGTCCAACCTTCAAGAGGAAGCTGTGCAATGAATATTCATCTTTGTAAGAGTTAAAAAAACGCTGATCTAATTTTTAATCTCTCATCTGCCAGAAGGACTCGACTTTGCACTGTCAGCAGAGCTTTGTTTAACTTGCATTATTGAAAATATTCTGCTTCCTGCATTCATATTTTCCCTTTACCTGAAGATTTTTCCTCTGATAATGAAATAAGGCAGCAAAAAGGCATCTGAGGGGAAAAAAAAGGTCATTGCTTTAGGCTGACTACCCTGTCTGTTAATTAATGACAAAGCATGTCCTGGTGTAATGTTTTTGTTTCAGTGGTCCAGACTGTAAAATCCTAAGTCTCCTTTTGCTTTCATCTCCCACAAGAGGGTGTGTGTGTGCCCATGAGTTAGAGCAAGAATGAGTTTTGTTTCCCACTGAACACTATGTCTTTAAAATTAGGTACCTGGAAATGCAGGAGAAGTTTGTTGCAAATTCTGTGGCATTACAAATACTAATTTTACCTTCAGGCATAGCTGCAGTGGTAGTTATGTACCTCAAAAACATGTGCTTATGAACAGCTTAGGGCAATGTGGCATCCTACTTGGTTGGAGAGTTTGGGATCTATTCCTAATTTTCAGGAATTTATTCTCTGATGAAGAGTCCTAATTCTGCTTTTACTGAGATCAGTGGCAAGAATTCCTCTAGTTTAAAGACACAGAGTAGATCAAGATGGGTATATTCCTGAAGCAGAATTGCTACACTATTTCTCAGCATTAAATCCCTCTCTTACTTTTACTTTCCCTCCCTCCATCACCCCTGTCAGTCTGTAAAATGAATGTCCACATCCGATGCCAAGCAAATGTTGCTCCGAACTGTGGGGTGAATTCAGCAGAGCTTGCTAAAACATTGGCATGCATGGGTCTGCAACCAGGGAGCATCTCCCCAAACTCGGTGAGTATTTTTGTTTAAATTTTTTTCCCTCCTCCCTTTAAAGCATTTACAACCGAGTCTTTGTATGGGTGCAGAAGTCAGAGAATTCGGTTAGAACAGATGGTGTTGGGTGGTGGACTGCAGCAATAGGTTGTTACGTTTGGGGATTGTGGCAAAGGCTTCAGCTGGAAAATGGATGTCTGATGTCCAGGTGTTCCCTGGTCCAGGCTTTTAATCTATAGGTGCTGCTTTGTTGCGTGCTTATGTTTCACACTGCTGTGACTCCATCACTTTTATCTGTTTGGCATGAAGGTGAGGAGAATAAGACCTCTAACTAATTAGTAATCAATATAATTTAAGCCATACCTATTTTTCACATTCACTGCCAGCACAAATGCTCTGTCTGCATATGTGGCTTGTGATAGAGCAAAAGAGGAGCTCAGCAAGAGGCCAAGTTCTCTTCCCAGTTTCATCACTGTTTTTCTGAGTGATTTTTGGGGAAACCATTTCACTCTTCACTGCAGTTTCCCTGTGGTCCCTGTCGACACATCATTGTCTGAGCAACCTGCCCATGGCAGGAAGGTTGGGATGAGATGACCTTTAAGGTCCTTTCCAACCTGTCACAATTCTATGATTCTGTGATCTCCAGTCTTTGCTGTCCAAGACGGAGTCCCAGTGAGATTGTTGCCAGGGTTAGGATGTATGTGTACAATTTCTGCTTGTCAGCAGTTAAAGAATCCTAAAAATTTCTGAATCTTTTCAGAGGGTTTAAAACTGTAAGAGCTTGAGTGAAAATGCCTGCACACCTTACTGGAAATCAGAGCTGTCATTTGATAACAAGTCAGTTTTCATCATGTTTCCTTTGCAAGCAGTTTTGAAAAGTGAGTTTGCTTGAGACCACGGTAAACCCCATACTAAAACCTTGGTCTATTTATTTGTGTTTTACCAGAAAGAAAATATTAACCCCCAAAACATAATTCCCAGACATGGTTTACCTTGTCGAACAGTTAGCCAGCTACACTGATCAAGCACACCATGCAATATCAGCCTAGCATGCTCGTTGGGCTGTGCTGCCCCTTTTGATTTCAGATGGTTCATAACACACTGTCTTATCTTTGCTCTTCCTTCTGTTCAGGGGAACAGTTTTCCTGGGAGTTACAGGGAAACACGTTCCCTTCTCACTTCTGCAAAAATCAGCACTTGTTACCATTTGTCGTTTGCATCATCTGCAGATCAAAAAGAGATGAAATCAGAAAAATAAAAATCTGTGCATGGTGTTTAACGATCTTTTCTTGTTATTTGTGAGCTAAAAGGCTCACAAAAAAGATACTAGGAAGAAATTGTTCCCTGTGAGGGTGCTGAGGCACTGGCACAGGTTACCCAGAGAAGCTGTGGCTGCTCCATGCCTGGGAGTGGGATTGGGCTTGGAGCAACCTCATCTAGTGGAAGGTGTCTCTGCCCATGGCAGTTGGAATGAGATGATCTTTAAGGTCTCTTTCAACCCAAACCATTCTGTGGTTCTGTGAATGCTCTTGGTTCGTTCCCTGTGGAGACAAGTCTCCTGTGCAGGAGGAATTTTGCTGTACACCAAAGTAGTCACAAGATGGAGCTCACGAAGTCTGTGTGACTGTTAGACTAAGAAACAGAACAAAAGTGTTTGTTTGTATGCATATGCATACCTGGAGAGCTGTGAACAGAGAGCACTGGAGGCTTTCTCGATCGTCGAGTACTTCCAAATTAGGAGCTCTAGAAATGTATGCTGATACAGGTACAATTCCTGAAAATGCAGCACCTCACTGCTGGCATGGGTATGGACAGCTTTCCATCAGATTTACAGAAGTGGAGGAAGCCAGCAGCCCCGATGTGGGAAAAAAACATATTTTGAAGTTCAGGTCCTCCTGAACTGGACTTTGAGTAAGAGTCTTAAAAACAGTTAGAAACCTGGGAAATTGAGATGAAATCTGTTTGGGTTCTAGGCTGCACCAGCACTTGACCTACTAGAGAAATGATGCCGTTCTCCTTGCTCTGTTGTTGGATAGGAGACTTGGATTTCCACACTCATTCTCATATTTTTGTGGAGAGTGAGGGTGGAGTCAGGCTTGCTGGGCAGTGGGTTTACAGCTCCAAATGCCCAGGTCAGGAGCTGATGTTGACATCTCAGCACAGCCCTGAGCAGTGCTGAGTTTGGCCAGTCACACATAACAGCTGTGTGGGGTGGTGGTACCAACACACTTTCTGTTCCAGTGGCTATGCAGTGCCTCTGAACAGGTCCCAAATACTCAAGTTGGTGGGTTGACCACCTGTGAGCACGCTTGAGGCGGGAGTAAAATTTCTGTGCAGACTGATACTTGTTTGCTTTCTTCCACAGAAACTGGTTTCGAGATCTATGTTGAGACACCAGGGAAAAGGCAGCCTGAAGGACAGCAACAATGTTAGTGAAAGTTCAGCAAGCAAACTGGGGATCAAAGACTTAACCTTCCTTCGTGTGTTGGGAAAGGGAAGTTTTGGAAAGGTGAGAGTTATTTGTGGCTCTTTTGGGGGAAACCATGTTCCTTATTTAAGAAGCTCCGAGAAAGGTCAAGTTATTTCATAACATGGTACTTCAGAGTAAGTACCAAGTGGCACTTACTTTTGCAACCAAATTGGTTACAGAAATCAGGGAGAAAAAAGAGAAAGAAACTGATAGCAAAGTGAAGAATTAGATCTCACGAAGAAGAAAGAGGTTAGTACCTGAAGGAACAGCTGCATGCCAGGGCCCATAGTAGAAGCTGCAAGTGTGTGTGTTAGCACTTGTTTGGGCAGCATTTCTTGGAGCATGTCAAGACCTTTCCTTTAAAGGAAACAAGACAATGGTTTCAAATGTGGTGAGATGGGACTTTCATTTCTTTGCTTTGCCACAAAGCTGATGTGAAATGGTACATTTGAGTTTGGTAACTGAGGAGGGAAGTAGGATGAATGGCACTGCTCAGGGAGTTTGTCTTGGCACAATCGGTGACCTTTGACCATCTAGCCCTGTGCCAGACATTGGAGCAATGTGTCTGGATATTTCTATCTGGAGAAGCCTGCTGCAGGCAGTAGCATGTGTCATTGATTGTACACTGATGCCCATACTAACAGGCTGATTCACTTTCATCCACAAGCCTGGTCATGAGATAACTGACCTTTCCAGCGTGAGAAGGTGCAAGAGGCTCTGTGTTTGCTCATAGAGACTGAGGGCTCAGCCCTTGTGATTCACCCTCCCCTTTGATTTAGGTGATGCTTGCCAAGATGAAAGAGAGTGGGCAGCTCTATGCAGTGAAGGTGTTGAAGAAGGACGTCATTCTCCAAGATGATGATGTTGAATGCACCATGACTGAGAAACGCATCCTTTCCTTAGCAAGGAACCACCCATTCCTCACCAAGCTCTACTGTTGCTTCCAGACTCCTGTAAGTATAGCCCAGGCAGTGGACAGTCTTCCTCCTCACACTGGCTGGCATGAGGCACTCTACTGTCTATTTGGTTCCTGGCCCATTATAATTGTCCACCTTAGACCCAGAAGAAACCTCTCTGCTCAAAGATGAACAGAGCACTCTGCTATATTCCATCTCTAATATCTGCTGGGCATTTGGCAAACAAAATCCTGGCTTGTTCTAAGCTCCCTAACAAATTGGTAAGACACAAAGCCTTTCTTTGTGCTTTCCCTAGAAACATCTCTGTGCCATTGAGTGCTTAGAAATGCATCTGTGCAAACGTCTACAGACCTGCAGTGTCCTCTGGTTGCTGTGGGATTTCAGGCTCTACTCTGTTGCTACCTGAATTTTAACAAGACTGTGTTTACATTGAATTATTTGCAAACTCAAAGTTTTGTACTTGGAAGCAAGGATAGCCTCCTGTCCCTGCCAGCCTTTGTATACTGCTCAGAAGTGAATGAAACATCCTTCTAGGATTACTGTAAAAGGATGTGACTGACATGGGTGGACACTGAGTCAGATTGATATACAGTTGGTATTTCTTGTTGTGTAGAGAAGACAAATGACAGCATTGCTGTCACTTGTGCCATGGAGGACTGCACATGGGCTGTCTGCCCAGCTGCAGCCTCAGCTGGTGTGTGCATACGGGTGGGAGCTTGTTGCTGTGTGGGTGGTGGAGGGAGGAGTGGCTGAGATGGAGGCAGTGGCCACAACCATGTACCAGCAAGGTAAGTTTGGGAGTCATTAGGACCAAAGCATCTTCTGCAGCGTAGTTCTTCCAAACTGCCTGGGCTCCTTTCCAGTTGCATTTTGTCCTTTAAGTGGCAGTAGAGCTTGTTTTCCTCTTAGAAGAGGCAGGAGAAACTTGCCCTTTTAATTGTGGCTTCATTCCTCCTACATAACCCCAAAATACTTTAAAAAAGAAAAGGGCAGACAAATGCATCCTGTCACCCACCCCTTTCTCTTTTCACTGGGTGATGCAACAGTCAACTTGAAGAACTGTGCTCGT